TCTTGTTGCTGAATAAGACTTTTTATCTTTTAAAAGACAGTTGTTTGTAACATACTTCTCAATCTTTCTAGATCTTTTAAGGAGGCTGTCCAAATCTCAGAATACTGTGTTCTGTGGGCGAATCCAGCTTTTCCTGGCACGTCTCTTCCCTCTGTCTGAAAAATCAGGTCAGAACAGCATTTGTGTATGTTATCTTTGAATAAATGAAACATCCATTCCAACCTCGTCTGATTTAACTTTTTTTTTAACGTATCCTTTGTGTTAATTCCAGGTCTCAATCTTCAGAGCCAGTTTAATCTGGACAATATAACAGTGTTCAACAAAAATGAACAAGAAAGCACTCTCGGCCAGAAGGTAAAGAGTAAACACCTGACAATAACTGAGAATTTAAAATCTGAAAGTTTTAGCTTTAATATTATTTTATGGTTTCCACGTTTATAGCACACAGAAGAAAAGGAGGATGGTATGGAGGTGGAGGAAGGGGAAATGGGAGAGGATGATGCTCCTGCACCATGGTGAGTGAAGCTCTAAAATAAACATTCACATTTTTACATTTTTTAAAATTTAAGTTACTGTTAATTTATGAAAACTGAGTCAAATGTTCCTTTCAGCTCCATTCCAATTGACTACAACTTGTACAGAAAGTTCTGGACGCTGCAGGACTACTTCAGAAACCCTGTGCAGTGTTACGATAAATTCTCTTGGATGACATTTCTTAAGGTAATGTACTTAAGCACAAAAGCTGAGGACTTTTTTTTTTATTCGACACTCGCCATTTGTCAGAAAATAAATACCAAAGCAGATGCTGCGTAGTGACTCATTGCCAATGTGAATTCCTCTTTGTCCTGCACAGTACTCGGATGAGACCTTGGCAGTGTTCAAGAGCTACAAGTTGGATGACATGCAGGCCTCTAAGAGGAAGCTGGAGGAGCTGAGAGCAACAGGAGGAGAACATGTCTACTTTGCCAAGTTTCTAACTAGTGAGAAGGTGAGAACACTTTTTTTTACCCTGGGAATGATTGGCAGTTCATATTTAAAGGCTGGATGAGATATTTAATTCCACTTGGTTAATACAGAGCTGGCACAGTAGTCTCATTTTAATATGCTCTACGTTTTATTTCTGTTGGAATATGACCACGTTAAAAAAAATAGGTTGTATATTACCTCACTTTTTTTTCTTTTTTCATCTCCAGCTGATGGACTTGCAGCTCAGCGACAGCAACTTCAGGCGACACATTCTACTGCAGTACCTCATCCTCTTCCAGTACCTGAAGGGTCAGGTCAAGTTCAAAAGGTAAGGCACGTCTCTGCTCTGACCTCGTAGAACAATAACCTTACATTTGTGTGGAAAACAAACAGTCATCAGTTGTTGGGCGGTTCATATTTTGTATTTCTTTGTCCTCGTACAGCTCCAGCTCTGTTCTGAATGATGACCAGACTACGTGGATTGAAGAGACAACTAAACTGGTTTATCAGGTCAGTCACACTGACATATATCATGTATACTAGTAGATATTGTAATCCATAAAGAAATGTGCCTCACTGTCTTCACATTACTCTACCTATTAAGATTTACCTGGATCATTATAGACTTACATAGGAACTTAGAAAAGGTCAGCACACTGAAATCAGCCATGCCAATAACTTTGGTTTGATTTGGGAAGGTTCTGAGCTACTTGCCATTTACACAATTTTACTTTTTACTTGCATTTCTTTGACCTGTATTAATCTGTGACTGTTCTCTTGTAGCTGCTGAGAGAGATCCCTCCTGATGGAGACAAGTTTGCCACCATGGTTGAGGTAAGCTTTGGGAAAACTATATTAAATATTAAAGGAGTCTTGTCTGTACAGAGTCGCATCCTGTCAAGTTTGTTCTTCGTACACCAGAAATGTTTCTTATCTTTTGACAGCATATCCTCAACACAGAGGACAACTGGAATGGCTGGAAAAATGAGGGATGCCCGAGCTTTGTGAAAGAAAGGTGAAGCAATTATTTTATTTGTACGCTGATTAGTCAGTTGTGTTATGACCCAGCTCTTAGGCAGGAGACACACAACAGTAACGGTTAAACAAAAAGATATTTTATTAAACCAAATTAAGGGTTATTGTAGAGTGAAATAAGGCATAAGGATAAACTAATACTAAACAAACATACTAAACCAAACAGATGGGTACCTGTCAGGGAGAAGGCAGGAAGAGAGAGCAATATTTGCTCTGCAGACAGAAATAAATAACCTGGGAACAAACTGGGGCCCTCAGGTGTTCCATGTTAACCTGACTGCACCAGATGCTTGGGAAATTGTTTGGAAAAGGGCTGGCACTCGCAACAAAATACTCTGCAGATGATTGGATGAACCATCTGTCTATTACAAGAAAACTTGAGTCAGATCAACAAACCATATTACGCTGTCAAACTATTACCGAAGCCAGCCGGGAGTCTGGGGAAAAAAAAATGTTGATCAGGAAAAGCCTTCAGCACGCTTCTTTTCTCTTCTTTAAATGACAAAATACTCTTCAGTTCTGATACAACTGATAGCCCCTACACTAACTGCTTTAGCAGCTGCCATTGTTGACGCTTCTCCTACATGTTGACACACACACAGCTGCCACTAGTTCTTCACAGGATGTTGATTGGTCCGATACCACTGTAGAAACGCAGAGATTGAATGTTAATTCCAGTTCACCCTAATGATCACCGGCAGAGTGAGCAGAGAGACAGGTGAATCACACAGCATACGAGATAACACGCTTGTTTCCTCTTTAACAGGACAGTAGATGACAAACCCAAAAGACCAACCAGGAAAAGACAAGCTCCAGAAGACTTCCTTGGAAAAGGGCCGGACCGCAAGCTTTTCATGGGAAAGTATGTGATTTAATACAGGGGTGGGCTATAGAATACAATAACACACAGATGAAGGAGATTTTGATATATTAAGTCTGAAGTTTGAACACTGCTAAGCTTCCATCCTGCTAAACTATACTACATGGTGACCAAAGCTCAAGTGGAATGAACAATAAACCTGTGTTTACTTCCTTAATTCATTCGTATGTTTTGTTAGTGATGAGTTGACTCGACTGTGGAACCTGAACCAGGACAACATGGAGGCATGCAAGTCAGACAGCAGGTCAGTGGTTCAGAAAACCAGGTAGCAACCCCCATTTACAATCACATTCACCTTAAAATCAGTAGCTTTGTTTGTTTGTTTTTTTACATCTTTTGTCTTTCTTTCAGGGAGTTCATGCCATCACTGGACGAATTCTTTGCGGAGGCCATTGAACAGGCCGACCCTGCTAACATGGTTGAGGATGAGTACAAGTAAGTTTGCAAGAATGAAAGTCTTAAAGAGCATTGGTGGCTTTATTCCAAGTTTCCTCAACATGTGTGTGTGTGTGTGACTCTTCTGTATCTTCCTGTAATTTAACGCAGGGTTGTGCGCAACCCAAACTACGGCTGGCGCGCTCTGAGGCTGCTCTCCAGGAGAAGTCCACACTTCTTTCAACCAACTAACCAGAAGTTCAAGAGTCTGGCTGACTACTTAGACAGCATGGTTAGCAAACTGGCCAAAGAACTGCCGGTAAGGATTTTCTGGACTTTAAAAAACAGTGTCCATCATTTTTAAAAAAGACTGCGTGATGGCCACATAAACTGCTGACAGGCACTGATAGTGTGATTGTAATTCCATACATGTAGAAGGATATCCCTTCTGAAGAGATCAAGACGGGAGAAGAGGATGACGACGACAACGGAGACAATCTTCTGAAAGACAGTAATGACAGTAAGTTCGAGTAGTTATTCAGTACCTCTTGTTTAGGGTCACACTACTGTTTAACCCAGCAGTAGCAACTCCTTTTTATATGCATGTTTTTTACACAGACACATTCATTTAGGAGAGGAATGATCTTCAATTCAAGCTTTCTGTAGGAATATATGGAACATTTATTTACACCCTAACATAGGGTTAAGTAAAGAATTCAACTAAAATGTAACATGCCTTAGTTTATCCTTCCCCCCCGCTTGACCCCTGTATTCCTTTAGAGTCCTGGTTTCAGTGATTAAATCACCTCATCCTCCACTTCCGTCCTTTTTCGATTAAGAGATTATTTTTATACTCCCTATTGTCTTTCTTCCAGGTCCCAGCATACAGAGCAAGATGGTGACAAACCAGCAGATGGATGACATGGCAGCCAAACTGGGTGCTCAGTGGAAGACGCTGGCTTCTCATTTGGAGATGAAGGCGGCAGAGCTGCGGGAGATCGAAACAGACAGTGAAGATGTGGACATGCAGGCCAAACTGCTGCTTGTTGCCTGGCAGGACAGAGAGGGAACACAAGCCACTGTGGATAACCTGGTCACGGCTCTTAATGCTGCAGGATTCTCCCAGATTGCAGACAGCCTCAGTGAGGCTTAAAGTAGATCATGTATTACCCATCAGTACCTCCATTACGTCATTGCAACATCCTTTTTCGTACCAAAAATTGGAGACTAAAATTTTTGTATGTAGTGTAGGCTGGAACAAGTTTTTCACTGTAGAAAATCCAATAAATGTTTTTTTTCTAATAAAACAATTGGTAGACCTTTCATTATCCCATGCTCACATTAAAGAATCTCACATCTTGGTATAACAGTTTATTTTCACCACCTATGAAAAGCGATCAGTCAATAACTTATTACAGAGTGGTGATGGTTAAGTCTTACACATTGTGGCAAGAGTGATCAGAAAACCTGCAAGGAGAAACGAAGTGAAGCATAGCATTTTAATGGTACAGATGTCAAGAGTCTGAAATCAGTGTCGGCAAGATCGATGTTGGAGGCTTGGTGAGTAAACGGTCACAGTTGAATCTCAAGTCTTTATTTAACTGCATACAGTTCAGCACAAGGGCAACCTGTTCTGAACCAGTTCCCCACACACTTCCCCCAAAAAAGCATTAGTGAAGATTTGCAGGGGAAAAAAAAAAAAAAAAAAAAAAAAAAAAAAGGGGGGGGGAGCATTAGTGAAGATTTGGCAGAAAGAACCTCATCTGTCAATACATTTGAGAACAATTCCAGGAGATGACGCGAGCCAAGCACTTAAGAAAAGACCTGAGATTGAACCCAAATTTCCCAGAGGGCCAACAGGTGAACAAGAGCAAGTCTTTACAGTGTTACGTGAAAATCTCCATAATACATCTGAGAAGATACAAGCCAGAATGTCGCGGAAAACAGCTTGGCTAGGCATTTTTGTACAAGTTGATTAAATGACTAAAGAGAAATATTTTGCTTTTTATGATATGAGCACCTTATCAAAGGCTTTAAAAATATACAATGTGTATAAAACATTTAATGAAACTACAGCGCTAGACTTAAAAACCTCTTTCAAGGATCCAGTCCAGAGATTGCCTCTCGTCATATCTCCATTTTCAAAGCCCACTACTGTTGAATATTTAACACCATTTGACAGAATTGGTTCTACAACGATTTGCAGAACAGGATGATCTGTTGTTGAACGTTGTATTTTTTATTATGGTACAGAGATTTTTTTCTGTCTCCTTTCCTAGGTTTGCTCTAATGAACAGACAGTTGCTAGATGTGTTTGGTACTCAGGCCTCTAGGGACTTTAAAGGCTTTGTGCCCAAACTGGACCCTCGTTTCACCACGGTGCTTACACCAGGAGCCGACATCCAACTCGGATGACTTGGGACCAGGCTCTGTAGGGTTACCTCAACAGGAAATAGACAGTTCTGGCTGTTCTTTTCTTTGCTGTTATGACAGCTCAGAAGGGGTGATGTTGTGTTATGAGATGGGATATGCTTTGGAGGATTTAAAAGCCCAGGACCTCCAAAGCAGAGTGTGAGTGTCAAGTGTGGTGTTGCACAAGCACATTTACCGACCGGGATGATGTGGGTACAGGTAACTGGTACAATAATGAAACACATAATTTAGTTTAAATTCAGTAAAAAAAAAAAATTGATTTATTGGAAAATAAAAAATTATTTAATTTCAGATGCAACAACATTCCTTTAATCCTGTCATTGTAATGTTTTTTTATTTTGCAAGTTACCTGTAGGTTTGTACCATTGGTTTGTATACTGACTGAACTCAAGTTGGTGATTTGGATGGTAACTTATGGTATGAATAATTATGTAGCCTTATCAAATATTTTATTCTGTATGGGCAATGGGAGATGTATTTAGATTGTGGTCTATGAGGTTAAACACAGGTGGAAAGTCACCATTTTTAACCAGTCCCCCCCCATCTCTACCTTTACACACACTAGTGTTTTTTTCTTTTCTCTTTAACTACACTTGACAGAAATGATTGCCGTGTGAGTGACATTAATAGATACTTAATGGGGTAAAAGAAAGAATCAAGAAAAATACAAATCATTTAACCTTGAAGACACACCGACAATAAATACAGTTAAGGAAATGTAATAAATCGATTGTTTACTAGTACTGCAACTATGTTTACTCACACACAATAAACCAGGTTATTGGGTGAAATCATGTTAAGACGGAATAAGATCCCATTTACAGTTCATGCTGAGCACTAACCTGATTACTTTATAGCCATCTACAGGTTGCATACTTGTCCCATAGTTATTTTTAAAAAGAGGTTGGTATATTTTAAATGTATAAAAAAAGTCAATGTATAAGAAACGTAGTCATATATTATGGTACAGCTTGGAAAAATGATTTGGTCAGAGGTCGATGGTACAGTGAGAACCGTACTAACTACTACTACTTGGTGTCTCTTCCACCTCTGCTTTACAATTAAATGCATATGTACCCTGCATTTACAACAGAAAGTGTTTATATGTCATAAGAAAGGGTTGCAGGGTTTCAGAGAATAGGCTTCTAAGTTTAGAAACAACATTTAATTGACAATTTACATGAGCAACATCACTGCACAGCATAAAGAGCCAAGACTTTGTAATGTGATGCACAAGATTAATTAATGAAATGACAATGCAGAGCTGTATAATTTACATATAGTTTGTAAAATCAAAGTTCAGGACCACAAATGATATTCTCCACACAAAATTCAAAAGGTCATTGTTATAGTCAACCTGATCCTTTTCACTCTCTGGAGATATTTGGGTTAGAAATGAGTTCAGTGGTAAATATTTACTAATGCAAGCCAAACACAGTCAAATATGTGGTTGTTTCACATGAGCTAAAACAAACGTGTTGGCTGCTTCCATTTGAATTAATACTTATTGTCAGTTCCAAGTTGAACCCTATCGTTTAAAATCCACATTGATTGAAACCATGTTTACTGAAGATTTACTGAATTTGTCAAATTGAAGCGTTGCCTGTGGGTAACAAGGAATCTGTTTCTGTGAATAAAATGCACACAGCTCAATCTGCTTTTGTTTTTGATTTTAATTGCTGGGAGAGAAGGGTGTCTGCCAAAAATCATGTTTTAGGTTTTAAATCTTTTGTTCTGAGTATGAATTAAATATTTTACTAAGTAATAAACGCTCACAGTGGTTCTGCAGTTAATGAAATAAAGGGGACTGTGGGTACTTGTGTGGTTTATGCAAAAGTTCTGTGCAAAAGTGCAAATGGCACATTTTTCCAGATGGACCAATCGTGACAACTTCATTCCAAATCTGAACAGATTGAATATAATTAGACATTTGAAAATTTCTGAATCTGAATTTCTGAAATTTCTGGCACTTATTTACCGTTTACACACACCTGACCTCCATACAAGAAGCCATTATTTTAAAAGTAATACTGCAATATTCATGTTTGGACTAAAGTAGAGCTGTTTTAAAAAAAAAAAAATAGTGATACAATATATTAAGTAAATCTATGGTAAAGAATTAAAATACAACTGAAAATGTTTTTGATATATCTAAAAAGGGTGTATATTAAAATATGTTTTGACTCCAACTGTATGACGTGTTCGTTTTCTGTGCTGAGTTTGATCTCATATCATTTTAATGTTAAGGAAAATAATTCGATGAGGTTCAGCACCAATGTATTTGATCATTTGATCTTCATCCAGGGCAGAGGGTCTCAACCTGGGCTGATTAATGATTAGAGAATCTTTTAAGAGGTGGAAAATACTCATGTCAGCTGTTCTCTGCTTTTACTTGTGAAATGTAAAAGTTGACAGTAGTTGACAGATATTTCTTGACTTTTAAGGAGAACCACTTATTTTGAGTTACAGCACACAGACAGTTCATTCACTCTGTTCTTGTGGCATTTGCACTACTTCACAACGTTGTTTACTCTTGTATTTAGAACTGTCCACTTGTGATCGGATCCCTCAAGACGCATGTTAATACCAGGTGTAAACAGGCTCATGTTGTGTGTCTCTGAACAAACAGTTTTATTTCAAAGGAAGTGGTAGAGGCTGAGCTCTGTTGATGTAATGTGTTATTGTAGATCTGGATCTATGGTTGGGGGTTTTGTTGTCAGGCTTCATGTTAAAAGATAAGGTCAAACTAGATAATTCAAACATCCAACATTCCCAGAGCAGGACAAAGATGCCAATGACATTTTATAATATTCAGTATGATTCCTCGTGAGTTGGAAACCTAAACCTTTCACCTGACCACAGTACCAAAAAAGGCCCCCTTGCCAATACTTTGTCTAATCAGGGTTCCTTGAAATAGCTTAACTGATAATATGGTGTATAGAGGATGAGTGCTTAATGAGCAGAATGCCATGAAATTGACTGTGCCTTAGGAATACTACCAATAAGAAGTGGTCAACTTTTTACACAAGGTATCCAGAATGAGCGGCCTGGTTTCCGTGAAATTTGCTGTGTTTTTGAATCCTGGCCTCTCCTCTGGTGCCACCATCAGGTTAACATTTCCACTTGTACACAAGAAATCTAATGAGCAGCAGCAGTGATGAAAGGTATTGGCTAAATGTATGCTCTCCAGAGGACACTTCAAAAGCTTTCCTCTTCCATTACCCTCAGGCCAAAAATGAACTCCCTCTTGTCTGTCTACTATGTCTACTGTCTTGAGAGTCATGTTTCTACAGGGCTGCAGTGTGTGCAATATGCTCATAGAGGGCAGTGATGAGTAGACAATGCTTTTAGTTTACTTCAAACGGACAAGAAGAAGAAATCAATAACGGAAGTATATTTGTGTGTCAAGTAGACACGTGTAAGCATGTCAGCACTTCCGTTTGGATATTTGGTATTGAAAGTAAAAGCATGTGACTCACCCATTGACAGTATAGACTTTGTTTAAAAAACAAAAACAAAAAATGATCATAAAAAGGTTGTCACCAAATGTCACCATTGTACAATAGGGCTGACTTAGAGGGCAAGCTGCCTTTTTCTTAGTACATACCATATACACAAAGTACATTCAATCAAGTTGAGGATGACACTTTATTTTGAAAGTTTTAGACAGGAAGTCCTCAGTAGTGTAGCATGCGCACGACGCGGCTTTTCACGCTGATCAATATTACTAACCCTCCTAACTAAGTTAACATTGACAGCGGTTACTTTTAAGATTAATGTGTATTCATGGGGGGCAAGAATAAACAGCGAACCAAAGGAAATGTTCGGGTGAGTACCAATCCCTGTAAGCTGACTTAACTACAGTGTTTAAAGTAACGAGACTGCTAGCGACAAACCGAGCACAGGCTAATGTAACGTTAGTGAAACTTCACGTTTAGAGCTAATGCTACGTGTGACGGTGCCTCGACTGTTTCATAACCACACCGTGTCCGTCCGGCCGTCTACAATACTTTTTGTGGGATTATCTAAAAGCACACGTTTCTCTCCCGCGACTAGCCGTCCAGTAGCGGCCGAGCAGCTGAGGTGCTGACCCGGGAGGGTGGCGTCATCCCGGGCTTTGTGGGATTCGACACAACGGTCACTTCGGAGCTGAGTTATGTCCCCGCCGTCCACGGGGCGGAGGAGATAGACAACCTGGTAGATGCTGATTTCCGCCTGGTGCTCAGGAAACTGTCGAAGAGGGATGTTGTCACCAGGCTGAAAGTGAGTTTCAGCTTTAAAGAACTTACCAACCACACAACAGAGAAGCAACATATAAATATATGACACATATGCTACAATCTATCACTATTATTACAATAACATAAAGTACAGTGTTCATGAAACAAGAAAAGCAATCTCTCATTGGGTGTGTTGAAGTCACCCAAGGGTGTACATTGGTCCAGGTGTGTGTCTTGATGCTGTGTACTCTTCTCAGGCTGTGCAAGACTTTGGGTCCATGTGTCAGGAGCGGGATGCTGAAGAGGTTAAAGGGGTCCTGCCATACTGGCCCAGGATTTACTGCAAGATATCAGTGGTGAGCTGATCATTCATTGTATCAACGTCACATTACTTTTAACATTCTGAATAAATAATAAATAAATACACATTCACCACTAACATCAAAGGTTTTTGATCAGCCCCATCCTAAGTATCAAATTTCATATTTCATTAGGTTAGTGGAACTTTAATATGTCTAAGTGCAAGTGTTGTGTCTT